GGAAATAAAAACAAAAATAAACAAATGGGACCTAATGAAACTTAAAAGCTATTGCACAGCAAAGGAAACCATAAACAAGATGAAAAGACAACCCTCAGAATGGGAGAAAATATTTGCAAGCGAATCAACGGACAAAGGATTAATCTCCAAAATATATAAACAGCTCATGCAGCTCAATATTAAAGAAACAAACAACCTAATCCAAAAATGGGCAGACCTAAATAGACATTTCTCCAAAGAAGACATACAGATGGCCAAGAAGCACATGAAAAGCTGCTCAACATCACTAATTATCAGAGAAATGCAAATCAAAACTACAATGAGGTATCACCTCACACCAGTCTTCAGAATAGCCACCACCAAAAGATCTAGAAACAAATGCTGGAGAGGGTGTGGAGAAAAGGAAACCCTCTTGCACTGTTGGTGGAAATGTAAATTGATACAGCCACTATGGAGAACAGTATGGAGGTTCGTTAAGAAACTAAAAATAGAATTGTCATATGATCCAGCAATCCCACTACTGGGATATACCCAGAGAAAACCATATTTCAAAAAGACACATTCACCCCAATGTTCATTGCAGCAGTATTTACAATAGCCAGCACATGGAAGCAACCTAAATGCCCATCAACAGATGAATGGATAAAGTTGTGGTACATATATACAATGGAATATTACTCAGCTATGAAAAGGAATGAAATTGAGTCATTTGTTGAGACGTGGATTGATCTAGAGACTGTCATACAGAGTGAAGTAAGTCAGAAAGAGAAAAACAAATATCGTATATTAATGCATATATGTGGAACCTAGAAAAATGGTACAGATGAACCAGTTTACAGGGCAGAAATTGAGACACAGATGTAGAGAACAAACGTATGGACACCAAGGGGGGTAAGCCACGGGGGGTGGGGATGGTGGTGTGATGAATTGGGCGATTGGGATTGACATGTACACACTGATGTGTATAAAATTGATGACTAATAAGAACATGCTGTATAAAAAAATAAATGAAATAAAATTCAAAAAAAATCATACTAAGTGAAGTAAGTCAGACAAAGACAAATATCATGTGATGCCACTTATATGTGGAATCCAAAAAAATGATATAAATGAACTTATTTACAAAAAAGAAACACACTCAGAGACATAGAAAACAAACTTATGGTTACCAAATGGGGAGGGAGGGATAAATTAGGAGCTTGGGATTAACAGATACAAACTACCACATATAAATAGGTAAACAACAAGGACCTACTGTATAGCATGGGGAACTATACTCAATATCTTGCAATAACCTATAATGGAAAAAATCTGAAAAATAATATATATATATATATGCATAACTGAATCACTTTGCTGTTCACCTGAAACTAACACAGCACTGTAAATCAACTATGCTTCAATTAAAAAAAATTATCCTAAGGAAAAAAATCATTGTAGTAGATGGGCTCCCCTTCCCCCCACCCATGTTCCAGTAGCATTATTGAAGAATTATGAGAAGAAATAGCTAAGAATGCATCCTCATGAGTTAGTCTCATGCATTCTGGCACAGTTGTTAAGAATCCACCTGTCAATGTAGGGGACATGGGTTCGAGCCCTGGTCCAGGAAGATCCCACATGTCACGGAGCAACTAAGCCCATGCCCCACAACTACTGAGCCTGTGCTCTGGAGCCCGTGAGCCACAACTACTGAGCCCAAGAGCCACAACTACTGAAGCCTGCACGCCTAGAGCCCGTGCTCCACAACAAGAGAAGCCACCGCAATGAGGAGCCTGCGCACCGCAACGAAGAGTAGCCCCCAGTCACCGCAACTAGAAGAAATCCTGCATGCAGCAACGAAGACCCAATGCAGCCAAAAAAAAATATATATATATATCTATATCTATCTATCTATATATATATTTACAGGGCACCTACTAAGTACCAGCTAAAGCGCTTCATCAATATTCCAGAGTGGCTAGAAGGAGCCACATGGCAACCTGAAAATACTGGTTGATTTGTTAACAGTTTGCACACAATTTTTTAATATGCTCAGCATGTATTCCAAATGGAATTATCAAGAAATGACAAGCTTCCCTTTCCACCCACGCTACAGATCTAGATTTGGGCATCCGAAAGATAAGAAAAGCTAACCATTTGCAATTTTATTTCAAAAGATATTCACTGTGTTCCAAAAACTGGTGGGGGAGTAATTGCCAGGAGAGACAAAGGCTGGGACAGTGGGATCTGATGGCTCGGGCCCTAAGTAAGCAGAGAAAAAGTAAACCCACTGCTTGGGACCCTGTCCCTTGCTTGTCAGAGAGAGGGTAGTGGTGACTGTAATGAGGGCTGTAGCCAGGCCCAGAGTGAGCAGAGGGGGCTCTGGGGCTCAGAGTATAAGAGTAACCATGGACTGATATGCTCCAGAACATTCTGGTATATTCCAACATTCTGAGACTTGCATCCTCATGGCCAAGATCCCAAGGCAGAGCTAAGGTTCAGAAGCCCCCGACTCAAAATTCGTGGCTTCTGAGTAGTCTGTTCTACTGAATGCTGACCAAGAGAAGAAACAAGTTTTTCTTACTTTGCTCTGAAGTAAACTGCTGTTTAGTTGAGATGTTGGAAAGAAGGTGACCAACTCTTGCAGTTTCCCCAGGACTTTCCTGGTTTTAGCACTGAAAGTCCTGTGTCCTGGAAACGCCTTCATTCCCAGGCAAATTGGGATGAATAGCCATCCTAAGGAAGTAAGAGCCAAGTGAATAGACCGGGTATTTCAGTAAAAAACCATCAGAAAAGTGGCTTAAAAAACTGATAGGGTAGAACAAATCTGACTCCATATTGGATCTGTTTCTTTAAATCTTTGTGTTCTATAGCTTTTGTTTAGAGTTAAGAATGTTGCCTATAGGCTGAAATGTACAGGATAGACCATTCTCAAGGCTCTGACCTTTAAGGGTATAACACTTTCCCATTCATATAGAGATAAAAAGTTGCAGAACGGGGCTTCCCTGGTGGCGCAGTGGTTGAGAGTCCTCCTGCCAATGCAGGGAACACGGGTTCGTGCCCTGGTCTGGGAAGATCCCACATGCCGCGGAGAGGCTGGGCCCGTGAGCCATGGCCGCTGAGCCTGCGCGTCCGGAGCCTGTGAGAGGCCCGCGTACCGCAAAAATAAAAATATATATATATATATTGCAGAACAGAGAATAACATTTGTGTTGTTGGAGGTTTACAGGATCACCCTGACCTGACCTACCTGGACAGTTGCAAGAACAAAGGATTCTGACACGAAGAGGTCTCCAAGAACCAACCATGCCTCTCCCTCACCTTGCCTTTAAAATGCTTTGCTGAAACTCCTTCCAGGAGTTTGGGATTTCGGGAGGCATAAGCTACCTGTCTCCTTGCATGGCCCTGCAATAAACCTTTCTCTGCTCCAAACTGACATTTGAGTTTGTTTGGCCTCAGTGTGCATCACGTAACAAAACCACTATCATTTTCTTTTTTTGCTCACCATTCCACATTCTTGGCTAGGATTGGCTGGGCGGTTCTTCCGCTGGTCTTGCTGATGATTTTTTGTGCGGCTGTATTGGGCTAGTGTGTTTCCTGGAGGATGGTCTCAGCTGGGATGCAGGGACATCTGGGTTTTACTCTCCCTGTCCAAGTAACCTCAGGGCTTCTCCCTTTACCATGTGGCCTCTCCAAGGGGCTTTTTACAGCAGGGTAGCTGAAACTCTACACGGCAGCACAGGAAGAACAGGTTTCGTTCCTCAGACTGCGAAACCTGCCTGGCTTCCCCAGGCGTTGATCTGGAATTGGCACAGTGTACTTCTGCCGTATCTTATTGGTAAAAGGCAGTCACAAAACTTTTAGAGTCAAGGTGAGGGGACTATACTAGGAGTGGATACCAAGCGGCAAAGCATGGGAGCTGCCCACGTGACAGTCTACTCCAGAGGTGGCGTGAGATGCTCTCCGGAACTCACAGGATTCCCAGGTGCCTGACTCACTTCTGACCTGTTTGCTGGGCCACCTGCCTTACCCTTCTCACATTCTCAGAGAGAACCCAATATGAATAATTTGACCTTCGGTCAGAGGCTTCAAGAGCTCTGGGTAGGTATAGGACAAGTTTATCTCTATTATTCGTACTTCCGCAAAGTGTACTGACGATGGTGAATCCCTGTTAAGGTTACCAGAAGGTGGGTGAGAAGCAACAGGTTAGGAGGCCTGGGTCTTACACTGCAGGTGTGAGGCAATAAAGGACGTGCCTCTTCCATGCAATGGTTCTTGGAAAGTGAGTACCTATGTTCAGGGCAGGGATTACAGAGATCACCAAAGCACAGCTCCTGCCTTAAAGGAGCGGACCCTTCTCAGCAAGGAACCTCCCGCCCGCGCCCCAAGTCTTGTGTGGAAGTTTATACAAGTGTCACCAGTGGTGCCTCCCTCCTTTCTACCTGTGTCTCTGGGGCAGCTCCAACGTCTGCCTTGACTCGGTTTCCCAGTCGGCTTCCCGCGTTGGGCTGCGAGCCTCCCGAGGGTGTGTTCTTGAACACACAGATAATCGAGGGGTGCATTCTCTCCCTGGGGTCGTCGAGCGGGTCCTCCAGGGAGCGCAGCCCAACCCCCTCCATTTCCAATTTCCACTTGCACCTTCCCGGTGTTCTTCCCTCTTCCCCAACTCCCACGCCCACACCCGCCTTTTTTTTTTTTTGCTGGAGAGAATTGGGGCCCCTCTCACCCTCCCCCACCACAAACTCCGCCTTCAGAGAACCCCGGAGCTACTGCGGGCCCTGCGGCTGCTGCTCGGCTCCCTTCCGTTTCTCCACCAGACCTCCTCTTCCATCACTGTGGGCGCTCGCTGGGCATTTCGACTCTCGGCTTCTTCTCTCTCTTTAGCTCGCCACCCGTGTCACCGCCCGGCCCGGCGCGTCCCGCCTCCGCTCTGTCGCTTTAAGTGGGTCCCCGCCGCCGCGCCCCTCCCTCACCCCTCCTGGCGCTCGGCGGCTCCTCGCCGCCTCTCCCGCTCCTCCTTTCCCGCCCCACCTCGCCGCCCGCTCCGCTCCTTGCAGCCTCCGCGGACCCGCAGCCATGGCCGACATCAAGACGGGCATCTTCGCCAAGAACGTCCAGAAGCGACTCAACCGCGCGCAGGAAAAGGTCAGAAACGGGTGGCGGGGACGCGGCGGGCAGGGCCGAGCCGGCCGGGGCGGGGGGGGGGTGTGGGGGAGCGCAGGAGGCCGGGCCGGGGTCGCGGGGACGCCCTGCCCTCCGCCGCAGCCACTGCAGCAAGGCGGCACCCGGCGCTGCGGGGAGCCGGCGGGAAGGCGGGATTGCCGGGGACGCGCAGCCCCTGTCCCGGGAGGCGCGGGGTTGGCCCGGGTCTCCCGGCTGCCTCGCCGCTCCCCGCGCGGCTGGCCGCGCTCCGCTCCCCGCCCTCCTGGGCCGGCGCCCGGCACGAGCTGTGGCAGGTGCGGCGTGTCGCCCGCGGCTCCCGGAGCTGAGCGCATCTTCCTCCCGGCGCCCGCTGGCCGGGCGCCCGCAGGCGGCTGGTGGGGACGCGGCCCGCAGGTCCCGGCGGGAGATTGCGGCGCTGTCCTTCCTCCGGCGGGATTTCCTGGCTACTTGGGTGCAGCAGGAACGAGCGATTTAGCACAGAAGCTACCTCCGAAGAAATATGTTTGGATTAAGAAGGCTGATCGCGAAGAGCCAAGGGCTTTAATACAGTACTGTGCAGTGAATCCTGAAGTTCAAAACCGAGATCTAGATGCACACTTCTTTCGTTTTTTCTTCCTTTTTTTTTTTTTTTTTTGAGGGGTCTCTCTGTATGTGTATCCCTTTTGACACCAGCGTCCTTCTCTGGAAGGTCAAAAATAAATATGACCTGAACCTAACAGTTCTCTGCATATTTTTGCACAGAGGAGGGCGTTTTATTGCATGAAAAAAAAAAAAAATCCATGCTGCACGGGTTGGGTTCCCTGGTGTTTCACAAGCCCCTCAAGATTGGTCACAGTAGTTTATTTTTCTCCCCGAGAGGTGGGCACAAATGAACGCCATGTCCAAATCAAGCCCAGCTCCGAGCAGTTGGAGAGGTACAGTAGCAGGCACTGGGCTTGCCTGGCTTCCCTGCCCACTGCTTGTCGTCAAGACCTTGCCAGCACTGAGGTCTTCATTTGTGTCCCAGGCAAAGGACATTCATATTGTAGATGAAGCGTTGTACTTGAAAATGGACACCGGCTAATGAGCCCCGCGGTCCGTGTCACTTGAACTGTGTTCTCTTTCACGTGGAAGTATTTTCCATCCCTGGGATTCTGGATGTTAAGTGGTTTCCTGTTTTACTGGAAGTCAGATTTGCTGCGTTGCCCACTATGAAGGTGAATTTCCCTTTTCAGACTTGGGCTCAGGGCGCCCCCCAGTTCCCATTGACTCCCATGAACTCAGCTGAAGCGGGTACTGATTGCTTTGCCTGTCCGCATGCCCAGAGGCTGGGTGGCTGCCTCTGGTCCCTCCCTTCACACATGCATGCTCTCAATGCAGTAAGAGGATTGTATTTCTTTTAATATCTACCCAAGCTCATCCTGAACTGTGATCCTCCTGTCGCTCCTTTAGCAGCTGAATTAACAAGGCTTCCTGCCCCCTTCTAGTCCCTGGCTACTTGTGCAGAAAGTAGCCATGATCTGCTGGGATCCTGGCCAGGTTTTGTCATCATTTTTCCATACTTCCTTTTACCCACTGGTAGGTATTCCTCCCCACCCTCTCCCTCCTTCCAAGTAAGTACTTGAATTTTAGGTCTGAAGCTTTTCATTGAATCCACTTCCCATCTGTGAGGGAATTTATTGATACAGTCTGCCTTTTGACATATTAAATTATTCCTTAATCTAGGTCACCAGCTGTTAATATGCCAGAAATAACTGAAAAGAAAATGTAATCTGACTTAGAGAGCATTCAAACCCTTATGAATTGTTGAAAACTCACTTTTTCATGATGGTGTGTATTATGATTGCAGTTGTGGTTGGTGGTTAATCAAGGTGGCCTAGGGGAGCCTTGAGCAGGGCTTCAAGTGTCCTACTTTCTTCCCTGGGGAAAGCTGCGGATGAAAACTGCCTGTTGTACTTAGCTTAGGGGGTTAAGACACCAAGAGGCTGAGAGTATGAGTTCTGTCCCTGGGTAAGTTCTGAGCCCATGCAGTACATGGGAAAAGGGCATGTGGGAATCCAGATAAGGCAGCCCAGTCGAGCCCAAACAGAAGCCGCGGGACAATGGAAAGCAGTGTGTTGCTGTTTGGGCTTGATAAGACATCTCCCCCAGTGATTCTTTCTTTTTGCATCTTCGGTCTCCTCTTATCCAGATGCTGCATTGCAATAATGATATGCTACGTATGTTTTTGAGACCCTTTGCTCCTTGTTTCTACCACCACATTTTCTCAAAAGAGTGTCCACTCCCTCGACTTTTCTATCACCTGTACTCCACCTAACAGCTTGCATGCATTTTGGCTCCAAATGCATGGCTGAAACTACACTAAGAGGTAATTTATGGCTTTCTATGAATTTAAGGTACCTTTTTTTTCTTATTGAAAGTCTGTAAAGGTTCATTGGAGAAAGAATGAAATACATATATAAGGGGAAAAAAAAACCCCACCAACAAATTAGGACACATAAATTCTACCACCCAGAGATTTCACAGTCATTTGATATGTATCCCAGTACATTTGTTTCCTTACGTATGTGTAGTATTTATACAACTAAAACAGGCGCATCCTATATGGTTTTGTAACTTGTTTATTTCATTTAATAATCATGAACGTTCTTCAATAGATGTACATATTTTCCATCACTATTATAAGTGACTGAACAGTATTGGAATGTATGAGTTATAATGGACCCCCTGTTTTTGGACACTCAGTTTCCAGTGTTTTCGAATATAAATACAATCAGTGAGAAAACTTATAGGGAAAATGTTCCCACACACTCTTAAGTATCTCCTTAGATAAATTCCTAGGAGAAGAATTATGGTGTCAGAGGTGTGCTTCTTTTTATTATAGCTAGATTGCCTTTCAGAAAGGTTGTGTCAGTTTACATTCTCACTAGCGGCCCATGGGACGTTGGCTGACACCAGATAATAAAGTTTAAAGCACTCTTTAGATTTAACATCAGAAAAAATTCGTTCCTGTTTATTTCATGTTTGATTTTTAAAACCCGAACATTAGTTTCTTGCGGTCTTGTTTTGTTTCATTTGTGAATGGTGTGTTTATATTTGTGCCCATTTTGTGTAGCATCTCCATCTTGTTATTTGTAAGGGCAGAAACTTTATCAATCCAAACATTATTTCTTCCTTTTCTATTTACTTTTTAATTTTTTGAGGATTTTTTTTCTGTTATAGAGCACATTTATGTTTATATTGTGTATATTTTATATATTTGCTTAAATCTATCGATTGATTTTGCATGGTTTCTCTTTGGGCTGTTGAATTAGGATCCTGCCACTTGTAAGTATCAGAAAACTCAATTCAAACTGGCTTAAGGAAAGAAGAGGATTTAATTAAAAGTAAAAATATGGTTCATGCACACATAAATTTAAATGAGATTCTAATGAATATATGTTTGTATTAAGCTATGAACATATAATATATGTATATATAAGATATATGCACATATGTGTGTGTGTTACATGTTAACTCATTTGATTCTGTGAGGTTGGTACCATTACTATTCCTATTTTATAGATTAGAAAGAGGTCAGGTGACAGGCCCAAGGTCACACAGTATGCAGTAAAGCTGAAGTTTGAAGCCACGCAGTCCAATACTTCCTCCTTACACGGTACTGCCTCTTATAATTATGAAAACGGCAGGGGAAGACAGACTTCAGACCTGCATGGAACCGGGGCTCAACCACAGGCATCAGGGCTCAGGTGTCTTTTCCTCATCTCTCATCTCTGCTGTCTATCCTGTCAGCCCCATTCTTGGGCACTTTCTTCTCTTTTGGTGGCAAGATGGCTGCCAGCCCCTCTAGGCTAGGCCACATTTACAGAGAACTCCTCAGTATAGCCCTCATCGGCCCAAATTTGGGCTTGTGCCTATCCCTGGAAAAGAAAATATATCTCTGGCCAAGGGCCAGGGCCATGGGTTGGATTGGGCCTGAGTCACAGGCTACTACGGAAGCTGGGGTGGAGAAATTTCCCCTAGACCATCTGTACTGCTGGTGGAGGAGGGAGAATCAGAGCACAGAAAAGGGAATGGGCACTGCGCTGGCAAAATGAAAGGTGTCCACCGCGGCGCACTTCAAAGGCCTTCTCTGCCCCGTGGTTGTGTAAATAATCACATAGCTAATAGCTTATAACTTAATATTCACTTAAAAATTTCCCATCAAGTTAATATATGTACAATTTAAAAAAATCAAATATTAGTAAAAGGCTTATTATGAAAAATAGCAGTCCCCTGTCTCTCCTTTCCTCAATGGCCAGTCTTGTTTCCCCAGAGGCAGCTATTACTAATCACAAATAAGCTTAAGATAGGAAAGGATCTATCCTTTCTTATTTGGTGAAGACCAGTAAAGGTTTAGCTCTCTTACATTCATCCTTCTACTTCCATATCCCCTAATAATAGAGCAAAAATTGTTGATTGCTGAGGATTATATATATATATATATATATATATATATAAAAGTGCTTGGTCCATAATAAGTACTCAATAAATGTTAGCTATTGTCATTTTTGTGATTTTATTCAGGGCTTGAAAAAAATTATGTTTATGACAAAACTCCATCAGAAAGTGCTGGGTAAACAGACTGCCTACACTCTGTGCCAGGTGCTTCTATACCTCCCAAGAGGTAAGGAACTAAAAGCCAACTGAGGATTATATTTTTTAAAAATTAAAGTATAGGGGCTTCCCTGGTGGTGCAGTGGTTGAGAGTCCGCCTGCTGATGCGGGGCACACGGGTTCGTGCCCCGGTCTGGGAGGATCCCACATGCCGCGGAGCGGCTGGG